TTTTCCAGGCCCAAAACGGAAGGCCTTCTGCACCAACCTGAAATGCCCCGTTTTGGGCCTGGAAAACCGCCTGCATCAACCTGGAAGCCAAAATGGGGTGTGGGGGCACTGTGATGCCCCAAAATGCAATGCAAGCATTGCAAGGAAAAAAAATTGCCTACTGAAAAAGTACCTTTGGAACAACCATGACCTGGGTGGCTAAGAATCTCTACAGAGGTATAACTGGGATGATAGGGAGGAGAAGTTTCAGCTGAATTGGACAGGTCTAATAATGTTTCCACCTTCTAATGTACTTCGGTTCTTCCTTATCACCAACATTGAAATTGAGCTCAGAAATGCCTTTGATTTGAGACAACAATGCAATATGAATAGACAAGTAGGTACCACTTCAGTGGGAAGGTAACAGCGCTCTGTGACATCATGCTGGCTACATGACCACAGAAACGTCTTTGAGGAGTGCTGGCTCAATGGCCTTGAAACAGAGACGAGCATTGTCTCTATAGTCGGCAATAACTAGCAGAGTAAAATCCGCAGAAACTCCTTTGTCTTTTATATTGGTTTGGAGATGGTCACAGTACTTATAGTTTTCTAATTTCATGAACATATGCTTCATTAATTATAAGATGTTGTAGTTTAGGGTTTCTTTGTATTAAGAACTCGTGTTACAATGCTATAATTTCCAAGATCTCTTTCTGATAAAAACATGAATCTTTAAAGAAGGATTTCCTGCCTTTTTAAAAAATATCATTACTTCTGTTGCCAAGTAAAACTGTGATATTTGATTCTTCCATACTAACAGAGTTCATAAAAGTCTCATATTTCTATTTTCTTTTTAGGCTGCTCTATTGAATTCTTTCCCTGCCATTTTTGATGAGCTATTGCAGATGTTCACAGTACAGGAGGTAGCAGAGTTTGTGAGAGGAACTCTTGGGAGCATGCCCAGTACAGTGCATATTGGACAATCTATGGATGTGGTTAAATTGCAATCTATAGCTCGTACAGTTGACAGTCGCTTATTTTCATTCTCAGGTACCAGTTATAATAGTAATCATATCACTTTATATACCCAATATGAACATAATTTGTTTATGCCATTTTAGGAACATATATGAAACTATCTTAGGTTTCATATACTGTATCCCTAAAATAGCATAAAGCAAATTACACTTTGAAAGTTGATTCATTAGAATTAATGTACAAAAATTATATTTCACGGTGTTTCGGTTCTAACCAGCCACATTTTCTTCCAGATTATTACACTCCCTCTTTTTCTGTTTTCTTTGAACAACTTTGCATATTGTGGTTCCTAAACATTGATTTTGCCTTGAATTGTTTCACCTACTTTTGCTTTCCGTCTTTTTATGTACATGAGGAGAAGATTGTTCTATAATTTTTGAATTTCCCTCATTCACCAATATTTTCCTTTGTTTTTCAATGGGTGTATTTTGGTCACTGAGTTTAGTAACAAATGGAGAGATTAGGAAATTAAGAAATAAAGTCAGACTTTTTAAAAAAAATATCAGTGCCCATTCTATACAGAAGTATGGTATGGAGATACTGCATTTTCTTTAAATATTTTTAATTTTTTTTACCTTTAATTTAAAAGAAAAAAATGGATCCTGAAAACCTTATTTATGTCTATATTGATATTCTTGGCTGTAACACACCAAAGTAAAGTCATCTCTTCGTCATAGCTTTTACACTAATATCCATGGTTCTATACTTAGAATAACCAGTTTTAGAAATACTTGAGATTTAGTTAGGGAACGGATGCCCATGTTTTTCTAATAAAGTGGTGGACGTGCCTTATTCAATTTATTTATTTAAAAGATTCAAAAGGACCTCCCATCTTAAGAACTCAACTCTGGGGGGCTCACTATAGTGAGGGGAAAAAAACCCTGGCACTTTAATCCAACAGAACCATCCACATGCTCCTATTTCATCCTATTCTAGCATTTTAGGAAGGGGTAGCTTTTTATGACCTTCCAAAAAAACTAAAGTAATAGAAGCCTGCTGGATTTAGGGAGAAGGGTATTCTACAGGGCACAAGCTGCTATGAAAAAGGCATGCTTTCTGGTCCCCTAAGATGACAGCATAAAAAGGATGGGACCCGTACCATGCTTACTGAATCCATCCCAGTGGAGAATGGTCCTTGGCCTCATGACAAGTAGGAAGGAACAAAGGAAATTAAGCCAGTGCAGCTTGCATAACAGTAGTGCACTATGAGTTTCATGTGCTGCTGTATTCTAGACCAGTTGTAACTTCTCAGTGGTCTTCAAGTGGTGTTGCAATAGTCCAACTAGGAAGTCCTCAAATACTATGAACAAGGCCTCTCTGTCCAGGAATAGGTGCAACTTCACATTTTGTAGTCAGTATCTTTATTGCCTGTTGTAATAATATCTTTTATGACAGTTGATAATATTGTAGGTTCATGACTTTTGACAATTTAGCTTCTTTGGGAAGCAATATTAGACAGTGAAGGAAAATAAGGCTGCCAGTAAAAATACTTTATGCATTTGATTTACTATACTGCAAGTGATTTTTAACCTTTTACAACATTTTGTAAATTAGCTATTCAGAATTAGTGTTTGAATGAATAAAAATGGGTTTCCCTTAAAGTCTGTTTCATAGAGGACTCCAATTAAGCTGTTGTGCTATTTATTAAAAGGCCAATTAAATTAATTTTATTTGTTATTAATGGTAGCTCTTTAGTTTCTATATATATATATGCTTATGAATTAAAATGAGGCAGGCTTCTCATTCCAGTATTTTGAGTTCTCCTGTAAAATAATGTCAAGCCTCTGGTTTCCCATTCCTAGAATCTCGGCGAATCTTATTACCTGTGGTCCTTCATCATATTCATCTTCATCTGAGACAACAAAAAGAGTTGCTTATCTGCTCTGGAATTCTTAGCAGTATCTTCTCTATCATCAAAACTAGCTCCGTGGTAATCTATGTCTATCATTCTGTCTTTCTATCATCTATCTTTCTTTCTGTCTATTTTTCTTTCTATCTTTCTATCTATCATTTATCTCTGAAGAATTCAAATGATATGTTATCTTTTGCAACATAGTATAGTTTGTAACCTACTTATCATCAGTATAAAGGATTATTGAAACTATGCATTTTTTTAACCTAAAGGACAGAAAATTGTGCACTAGTTATTATGCTTAATGAACTTTTCAAACATTTACTTGAGAGAATATATATGGCTGCTGCCCAGCCTATATAGAATTGTTCTACATCTTTAGCAGAATAATAAACATGATTAAAATTCTGGGTGACATAAAATCCAGACTATGATATGTCCTAGGCTCTTAAATAATTTCCTTATTTCCCCCTGCAAAATTATTCAACTTATTTTTGATAGATAGTATTGCTGAGCAAGCAAATAATGATAGAAATAATATTACATTGCTAAAATTGTTAATTTAATATATTCCCATCTATGTTCAAAGATGGCTGTTTAAGTAGAAACTTTAGCACTGATGTGGATGTTCTGAAAATAGGTTTGGATTATAATATCTTAAAGACAGTATCAAACATACCCAAAGAAAGTTTAACAACCTCCAAAAATATTATGTTTGATAATATTCTAAAAGAGAGAGCTGGATATAATTCTAATCATAAGTTTTGTTTGTGAACAGGACTGAATGTAAAATATTAAGGTAATAAATTAATTGTCTTTAATTGGGTAATAGATTATTATAAGAACATTTGATCTAGGAGTACAAAATATCCATTATTGTAGATTTAAATAAATATGGTATTAAAAATAAGAAGGAGGGACTTTATTATGATTTTGAACAGAAAATTTGATGGAATCTGTGACTTCTTGAGATGCTCTATCTGGGACCGTAGGATTGCATCATCATGGGTTTTAAAGATAAGAATGACTATTGGGCACTAAGCCTAAAATGAAATGGGTTACAATGCGTTTTTATATTTTAACCATTCTGACTTAAATGAAGACTCAATCATCCAGGCCAAAAGTATCTAAAAAGATTAAATCATGTTAACTAGATGAAAGTTTGTTCTAGTTGCCATGATTTAAGTTTTTTAAGATATCCTGACCTGGGTAATACATTTTTTTCCCTTTCTCGTTCTCCTTTCTTGTTTTTTACCTCCTTTAGAGGAAGTCTTGAAAGCAGGTTCTAGCCAAACCTGCTAGAAAAAAAGTGCAATTTTTATAATTTCCTCTAGGAGCATTTTATTAGTTGAAAAGTAGAGAAAAGCAAATTAAGAACTAGTAATATAATAATAAAACTAAGTGGCTCTATTTTCATGGTTTCCCTAAGCCATGAAAACAAACAGTCATTGTCCTATAGTCCATCTTAACTTCTAGCCTATAATCCTAATCAGTGGTGGGTTGCCAATTTTTTAATACTGATTCAGGCGCACTCCATGCGTGTGCGACGGGGGGGGGGGGAGAACCGCCCGCTGCTGCTACTACCGGTTCACCCAATCTGGGCCGAACTGGGAGCAACCCACTTCTGATCCTAATAGATAAATGAATGAACAGGCAGCCAAAAGCAAGTTCACAATTTTCATTTACATTTTGTAAGATGTTAACTCTTTATGTTCTTTTTACTATAGGAGACAGATGTAACTGAGGAGGTAGAAATGATGGTGGAGAGCCTCCTGGATGTACTATTACAAACTCTTCTGTCTATTATGAGTAAATCACAATCTCAGGAGGCGGTAAGAGGGCAGCGTTGTCCACAATGCACAGCTGAAATCACTGTTAGTAACTAACCGTCAAGTTCTATCTCCTGCTTATCTAGCCTGCTCCCTTTCCCTATCCTCTCATCTCCAGTTTACTACATTTTTCGTTCATTCACTTTTTTGTGTTACAAAGCTAAAAATAACTGCCCTGAACTGTCAGGGTGAATCTAAGAACTTCAGCCATGCTGCTGTTAGTTTATTTAGCATATTATTGTAGGTTATATTTTTAATTATTTCTAAGACATTTGCTATAATAATTGAAAATAATTGGTGGGTACTTAAGTAAAAAAAAAAAACACCTAATGACTGGAATCTTATATCATATTATTAGGAGTTGGATAGTGCATTGTGTGAACCTGGCATGTTATTTCAATCAGGCTTAAGCCATAACATGATTTTTTGTGAATCATTAGCATATTATGAGAACACTGCTATGTTTTCTTAATCTAAAATAGCATTTAGTATATAATATGAATCCAATCAAGGTTACTTGCAAAATGATAACAGTTTTACTTAGCTTTGAAAGACAGTTCATCCTGGATTCCCCACCCCCCCGAAGCCACCTGACCACTCTCCACTCTGGCCTCAACTGAAATGAGAATTTCTTTATAAGGTACAAAACAATGCTGTATTGCATACATATATACAGCATATGAAGAGAGGAAAAGCAAATTTTCATCCTTTAATCCTCTAATTATTCTGTTTTCCATTTTTAATTTGATTTGCTGACTATTTGTTAGCCTCCATGGGTGAACTAGACAGTTTACTATGTGACCTACATCTACTTTATTATAAGGCTGTATTAACAAAATTAACAAACATTTTGAAAGTACAAACTTCCCATTGCCACTTTTAACTGCTTGATCCATTAGGGCAGGTCTTTTCTAAGTTTCTTTCTCTGACCAAGAAAGGGGATTCTTACCTCTTTTGCCTGTTTCCTTCTCCATTCCCCACATTCCGTTATGTGTCTCTTTACATAAACACTTTCTACATAGTAGGAATTTATTTTAAAAGTACAGACATAAGAAGAAGAATGGAGATAATTTTATAGTGTTTTATTTCATAAATATCACACCATTTTCAGTCCCTATACCTTTTTCCTGTACCTTAAAGTTAATTTTTTTATTTAGACTTGCGAATGATTATTCCGCTAAAATAATTATTCTTTGAAATTAACAGGGGGAATATGTATCCTGTCTTTTGTCTCTACTTCGTCAGATGTCAGACACTCATTTTCAACATCTTTTGGAAAATTTCCAGAGTAAAGATGAGCTAAAGGTAAGATTATAAACACAGTCTAGTTATATTCCCCATTTGTGTTTTTGTGCTAATGTATATCTCATAGCTCTGGAAAGCTAAGAATGATCCTGGTTATAAAGATGCTTGTTTTTCTTTTGTCAGAGATTCAAATCCATTCCATATTATTTATTTTATCCTGTATATTTGATTGGGAATTGAGTCTATTCCACTTAATAGATATTTAAATTGCAGCTGATCCAGATACATACCGAGGTTGCAAATCAATTAGCAGTTAAATGTTCCTGTGACACCTGACATGCATAATTTTTGTTTGAAATAATTGAATCATTTGATAGCAATAGCACTTAGACATATATTGCTTCACAGTGCTTTACAGCCCTCTCTAAGTGGTTTACAGAATCAGCATATTGCCCTCAGCAATCTGGGTCCTCATTTTACCGACCTCGAAAGGATGGAAGGTTGAGTCAACCTTGAGCCTGGTGAGATTCGAACTGCCAAACTGCTGGTAATTGGCAGTCAGCAGAAGTAGCCTGAAGTACTGCACGCTAATCACTGTGCCACCACAGCTCTTAGATTTAATAGAGTTGAATCTAATTATACTTATTGTATTTAAGCTAGAATCTATTTGATAAAATACTCATGCTTATTCTACTTTTGTATTATATTATTTCATTGGTGCTTCATGCTTTTGTTCTTTTGTTGTGTTTTTTTCTATTAATTGTAATTCCGCTTTCAGTGAATGCCCAAAGAATGATTTAAAGTACTTAATATTAAAATAAAATATGTATTAAATATTTAATACTTTAACATATGAAGCAATATATCAATATTTTTAAAGGTTTTCAATTTTAGGTTGACTAAATATGGTGTTTTCCTGAAAATAAGACCTCCCTGGATAATAAGGTCAATTGGGCTTTTGAGCGCATGTGCTAAAATAAGCCCTCCCTCAAAAATAAGCCTCCCTGGAAATATTGCAACACACTAGCAACCATGAGGTGACCACACTCACTGCACCTCAAAAATAATAAGACCTCCCTGAAAATAAGGCCAAGTGCTTATTTTGGGGGGTCAAAAGAAAATAAGTTCCTGTCTTATTTTCGGGAAAACACAATAACTTAAAAGAATTATCCTTGAATGTTTTAGTCTTGACTGTCATATATGTTATTTATCATAAAGATTCAGCATCTAGAAATTTGGAGTTTGATATTGTTACTATGCTGGTGACATTGAATTTTATGATACCAGTGAGTTTGAGGAGATCTGAATGTACTCCTAGTCAATAATAGAACTGTTTTAAAGACCCAAATTATAACCTAATCCAGGTACAGCACATACTGTATGCCCATTGTTATTAGGATGACTGATCATAAGGAAGCTTGGGCTTTCTTTAAAAAAATATGTTCCCTTTGAAAAATATGATTAGCAATTTGGAGATAGTGGATTTCAAGGGGCATCTTATAGAATACTTTTTCTTATCTTTGACTAGTGTGCAGCAGCTATGGCCTGAAGATGATTCTGATAATCTCCAAAATTCTTCTTTTATCTTTTATTTCTGCCTTTGAGTCAATTTTTGACAAGTTCCTAGAGCTTTCAAAAGTAGTTTGCCCTGGCCTTCTTCTTAGGGCTATTGGAGATAAATCTGTAAGCAATTTTTCATCTCATTTTTCAACTTACAACTTACTTTTTCTTTCCCTTGTTTAAGGTGCATGTTTGCTTCAAACTACATAGCTAGTAAAGTTTTAACATTGTTTTCTTGGTTTTTACTAGGAATTTCTTCTAAAGATTTTCTGTGTGTTTCGAAATCTGATGAAGATGAGTGTCTTTCCTCGAGATTGGATGGTGATGAGATTACTCACCAGCAGGTGAGTACTGATTCATTTTAAAATAGTTGAAATTTAGTAAAATCATGTACAATTTTTAAACAAATGAAGATTTTTTTAAAAAAAATTCAGCTCAATTAAATTTTTAAAGCACTTGGACCATTTTAGATATGCTCCATTTTTATTCTTCATTGAAACATACTGAAAACTAATTTTTTTGATAATATTATTAAAAAATTAAATAAAGAAAATAAAATCTAATAATTGAAATAGAAGAAAGAAGAATGAAAAGGAAAGCAAAATCAAAAGTTAATGCTAAGGTAAATTTCAAAAATCATTTTATTAGATATGCTATTTTGACAGTATGGAATAGATATAAACATGTTGTGTTAAAATACCTTTATGTTTGCCACTTGAAGAAGCACCTTATAGAAGAGAAATGATAACTAAACATATATATGACCTCTTTGAATTATCTTTTAAGGGGAAAAAAACACATTCTGTGTCTGAATAAATTCTTGTAGAATTATTTTCAATCTGCTAAAATGATTGTAAATAACTTATAATCACTGCTTAATACTATCAATCTATAGGATGAGTGAATTGAGGATATAGCCATTCTATATCTTTGACTTGCAATTGGTAGGTTAGCTGGAGCAGGAAAGTGGAATTATAATTTAGTGAATCCTTTTATCTTGTACATCTTATGCCTATAACTAGCAGAATGGGAAGTCAAGGCAGAGAATTGGGGTGTTGTGGATGTATTTTCCGTCTTGCTGACCAACATTCTCCATATCTGGGCTGTTTGAGACAGTTACCTATGTGGCAATATTTCATTGTTATTACAACAATTACAGCCAGTTTATGAAATGAAAATAAATATTGTGAACAACAGTAACAAATGCCCAGAATATCAACCCACTATAATTCAGTTCTTAATAGTAGCTATGAACAAAACCAATGGATGTGGGAGAAGTTATTATTTAGAAGTTTAGTGTGGTGTTAGGCTGTTTTAAGACATGGAATAATTTTAATTGGATAGATTTTTCAATAATTATTGGAATTGGAATCTATCTAAGGATTAGCTTTCCCTAGGGCAAATTATTAGATAGAAATGTTTGAGGCTGCCCATGTTCCTGATCCAGTGGATTGCCAATTTCTTAAATTATATATTAACCACTATTTTATCAATAAATATAAAAGAACATGATTTTCACTAAATTTAAACTTTCTGCATATTCTGTAAACACTACTATAATGTTCCTTTCGTTTTTATAGTGTGATAGTTACAACAGTGCAGTATCTGTCTGCAGCACTACATAAGAATTTCACGGAAACAGATTTTGATTTTAAGGTATTTTTGAAATTTCTTTATATTATTAAATTGTCAACATTGTATTTGTTTTACTATTAAATGACAACTAATAAAGCATTTGCACCAAAGTCCTCCAAGAGTGTTCAGATCTTTAAAATAGAAAAAATAAAAGAATGCAGATGGTCCTCATTTAATGACCACTTGTTCAGCAATTTTTCAAATGTATGACAGCACTGAATGAGCATAAGTATAATTAGCCCTTGTACTTACACCATCACGATATGTCTGTGCTCACATTATCCACATTTGCTTCCTACAAGCAAAATCAGTGAAAAAGCCAGCAGGAAGTTTTCAAATTGTGATCATGTAATTGCCTCATTTAATTACCGACAACAATTCACTTAACAATGGCTACCAGAAGTGGTAGAATTTGTGTTACTAAGCGTCGCAGGCAATAGATTATGTGTGTCTACTCAGAGAGACATTTTGGAGAAGTGGTTAAGGCACCAGGCTAGAAACCATGTTGTAGTGACCTTGGGCTATTCACTTTCTCTCAGCCCTAGGAAGAAGACAATGGCAAAACCACTTCTGAAAAACCTTGCCAAAAAAACTTGTCCAGGCAGTCTCAGAGAATGGGACACAATTGAAAGGAAGGGCGGCGGTAGGGGGAATTCAGAGATAAATCCTATGAGTTTAGTAAACCAACTCCCCAAAAATGATGTAAATAATTGCAATACAAGTTTTTTAGTTTAGAAATTTTGTTTATAAAACTTCAAAAATTCTTGACAGTATAGTCTCTGTGGAGTAATACATATGGGATTCCTCACCTCAGATAGCTATAGTCTTTGCCTTTTGTGTGTAAATTTATAGAATTTTTATTATAATTCTAAAATTCACTTTCAGAAATTCAGTTATAGAATTATATTATGAAGTAGGTCTACTATGCATTGTTTATTGATGTGTGTGAAAGAAGTGCCATATCATATGTACAGTATACAGAATGGACCATGAAACTACTATCATTATGTAATGACTGTATTTATTTGTTATAATCATTTGGCTTAGGTGTTTTCTGAGCAGATATGCAGAATATAAATATATCATTATAATAAATACATTGTCATTATCATTATCTCTGGTGCTTTTTAGAACAATCAGTTGACATTTATTAAAGATATACTAAAAAAACTAAATTGTACTGTATATGAGTTTTCAGTTAGTTGCTTCATTGTTTTTCTATTTTCTAGGCCTGGAACTCTTATTTCAGCTTGTCAGTTTTATTTATCAACCAACCTAGCCTGCAGCTAGAAACATTTACTCCAGCTAAGCAGAAAAAAATTCTGGACAAGTAAGAATATATTAACTTAATTTTCATTCTCAGATGTTTGTTTTGAAAGTAAGGCAGTTGCTTTTTCCTCTGGTTCTTTTTTTTAATAAGATGTAGTTTAATACTAATATTGCCAAATCTTATTTTACTTTAAAAATATTAATACTAATATTGCCAAATCTTATTTTACTTTAAAAATCCAAATATTCCATTTTTTTCCTTTGGATCTGTGTTTAATTTCCAGATATGGTGATATGCGTGTGATGATGGCATATGAGCTTTTTAGCATGTGGCAGAATCTGGGTAAGTTAATCTTTGAATAAACTGAGATTTACTGTGCATTGATAGCACAGTGCTAGCAATGTTTCATCCACCATTAAAGGAGTATCCAGAGCACCATAAGAACTGGATTAAACACACATTGGTACAACTTTACTAGAAATCGTTTTATAAAACAGAAGAATCATTTGTCCTTTGGGACTGCACACTATCACTAGATAATAGTTACCTGTATGCATACACATTTCCAGGCATAACTTATTCTATTCCTTTTTGGATTAATTCTTTATGGTAAGCATCTAGTTTGATTCATATCTGACTTCATTCCTTATCGTCAGTTCTAGAATATTTTCCATTAGCAGGGAAGCTAAACAAAAAAGAGTGGGAAATGGGATGCAGAGGAAATGGTATTAAATAACTGCTTGGTTTTGTTGTTGTTCAGGGGAACATAAAATTCACTTTATTCCTGGAATGATCGGTCCTTTTCTGGGTGTCACACTTGTGCCACAGCTAGAGGTCCGCAACATTATGATCCCCATTTTTCATGACATGATGGACTGGGAACAGCGAAAAAATGGCAACTTCAAACAGGTAAAATGTCTCTTTGGCTCTTACAATGTTCATTTCTTACTTAAATGTTCATTTACAGAGTAGAAATAATAAGCATTTTGCTCCCAAACTATTAAGCGTATTTCAATAACCTCAAGATACTGCAACCATCACAAATAAATGCTGGTTGCCAAGTATCCATATTTTGACCATGGGGATACTATGATGGTCATAAGTGCAAAGGGCCGGAAGTAAGTCACTTTTTTGAATAGTTACTAAACAAATGATGGTAAGTCAAGAACTACGTATAGAATGTTCAGCCAATTGCAAAACTTCTTCCCATTTGAGTGAGACTTTTTCCAATCCCATTCTTTATTTTACTGTTTCCCATTCAGGTTGTTCTGAATTTTGGTTCAACTGTACAATAAATCCAGACTGAGAGTTGTACTCTTTCTCCTTTCAAGCTCTAATCTTAAAAGGGGACAGGATCCTGTCTCTTCAATTTTTATTTTTGTTAAGACTAAATAATGGGTTTAAATTTAGAATATATTCTCTCTCTGGAAAAAAATGGAAGAGAAACCATTCTTCTTTATGATCTCTGTATATCACACAAATATTTCTGCATTACAGAAAACAATGGCATTAAAGTTATTTATGGAGATTTTGATTTATGTGGGATACTTATAAGAGAGAAGAATTATAGAATCATAGGACTGAAGAGATCCAATCCTATACCCAGAGCAGGAATCCTAATACGATCCACACAACTCCAAGCCTTGCTTGAAAACCTTCAGTGATAAGAGTATCCACAACTCCAAAAAGCTAAATAGCTACTACTACTGCTAAACAGATCTAAGTAAAGAATATATTATTTTAGAGTTTGGCTCTTCTCTGTAAAGCATCCATCCATTACTTCTTGTCCAACCTTCAGGAGCCATGGCTCCCAGCTTCCCTTGGATGGCCCTTAAGTATTTGAAGACTGCTATCAATCTTTTCTTCTTAAAGCTAAACATAACCTGTTGATTTAAGCATTCTTCATTGGTTTAGTTTCCAAGCTCCTTGTCATCTTTGTCACTCTTTGTGCTCTTTCTGGGTCCTCATCCTATTTGTATTAAGGCAATCAGTATCCCATATCCCAGATGCAGCATGGAGCAAAATTATCACTTCCCTTGATCTTGACTCTATAGTTCTGTTAATTTGCCCAAGAGTGAAGGAGCTGTTTTAGCATCAGCATCACACTACTGGTTCAAGTACTAGACCTACCTCATCCATCTCCTGAGTATTATTACTAAACCATTGTTGCCTATCTTGTATCTGTTTTTCCTACCTATTTATAGAATTTACATTTCTCAACATGGAACTGTGTTTTGTTGGATATGGTCCAATATTCAAAACTACCAAGATCCTTTGGAACACTGAGTTTGTTTTCTAATGTGTTATCAATCCTCACATTTGCATCATTTGCAGTTTTTTTGTACTCCTTCTAGCTTCCCATCTAAGTAGTCAAGATCTTCCACAGGATACTTGCCTCTCTATGTTGGCATAAAAGCATTCAAGAATCACATGCTGAGTCTGGTTCTTCAGTCAATTACAAATCCTTCTGCTAGCTAGTGGGATTATTCATCCCACATTATTCCATTTTATCAAGGAAAAGGGTATGGTCAATATTATCAAATACCATTCTGGAATCTAAGTACACTATATTCACAGCATTTTCTTGGTCTACTAAATTAATCACTTCATCAAACAATGCAGTAAGATTTGTCTGGTATTACCTAGTTTTGACAAAACTATGCTGGCTTCTAGTAATCATTTTGTTCCTCTCTGGGTGCCTACAAAGCCAGGGTTTAATTATCTTTTCTAGAATTTATCATTTACTGATGTCAACTTAACCGGCCTTTAGTTTCCTGAATCAATGTTTTCCTTCTTTTAAAGAAAATGGGAACAACATTTGCTCTTCTATAATCTTCTGCATTTCTTCCAGAACAAACTTTGTTTTTAATCTTTTAATAGTTTTCAAAAATTACAATCAGTGTTCTGAAATTACATATGCTAATTTCGCAAACCCTGGGATATAATCCACCCAGTTCCAGACCCTTAAATTCATTCAAAATTACTCAGAGGGGGTTTTTTAACCATTTTTTTAATTATGATCTTTCTCTTTTTATCCCAACACCCAGTGCAGTTTGGATCAGTCCTCTTTTCTTTTGCAAAACTACAGATACAAAATAGGAATTAAGCAGTCCAGCCTTTTCCTCATCCTAACCCTTACTTAGTATGATAATAATCGTGACTTGGATATCAACTTGTTTTATAGGAGGCCTTCAAACTGCACATCAAGTGAAAACCAGAATTGTAGCCTCACAAATCTATGATTTTCAGTCTCAGATTCCAAAGTAGGGATCTGCACAAAGCAGAAATTTGTTTTGTTTTAATCCAGAACAAATTATTGTACACAAAAAGATTTTGTTGAATAATCCTGAATTGGCTTTGTTTTCATAGAAACAACAACAAGCACATTTTGCATGAAAGAAAATTCAGAAGGATTTTGGAGAATGTTACAGTGATCTTACGGGATGAATGGCAAGGCTGGTTCCTGACACCTTTCTTTTGACTCCCTTTCAGCAACTTCCCATGCAACCAACCCACTCCATAGTCTTTTTAACCTCTTTTCTGCTGTGCATTCCCTCAGCTCCCACAGATATCTCAGGATATCATATTCCACCAGGCTGCCCATCACAATCTTCTTAGTAGTTCCTTCTCTGCTTACTCTGAATCACCACAGCATTATTCCTTGCTGCCTTCCCTTAGCAGCAGCAAAGTCCCAGATCAACATATCCCACCAGACAGACGATGCATAATCTTCCAAGTACTTGGTTTTTTGTCCCTCTCTATAGCTGCCATTGATATACTGGCCTGTGCACTTGTTCCTTAATTGCAAGGCTTCCTTATTGTAGTAAGGACAGCCTCACAACATGCCATATCCCACTAGCCCACTTGTTCTCCAGATTTTCCAATACTTTCCCTTCCCTCTGTTTCCTCAACTGCTGCTGTGAATGTCCTCATATTTTTACTTTTCTTATATTCCCACATATGCTTTTGTCAGGAATAACTGCAGTTCAATCTATGTTTCCTTTTATATATAGATCAACACTTCCTAAACAAACAGTTCAGGCACAGAACAAGCAATTTTACAAGTCTTCAGGAATATTTCATACATTGCTATTGGCAAATATTCCAACTTTCAGATGTGACCCTCAATCTGCAATTATACTATTTTGATATAATCTGTTTTCATAGTCTGATTGACTTTCACTTGTACTATAAGCAACGTTCTCGGTTTTGTTTAAATTGTTGCCCCTGTGTCTTCAAATATCTCTCATCTTCCTAACTCCAGGATTTTCTTCCTTGCTCTCAATTCATATTATTAATCTGAATTATATTCCTATTTCTGTGGCATTGTCTGCCAAAAAAGTGGAATCCACTATATGCTAGAGAGATGAGTAGCGCATTAGAATCTGTTTCTGTTTTTGCTTCTGAACTGTTATGCTTTTTCTTGATAATGCATTATTGGATACCTATTTTTTTCCAAAAGAAGAAAAATCAGAACAACTATTTCAAATGGCTCATTCCTTTTATTTGGAAAACAAGCAACAACCTGCTTCTGCCATAGAAACCATCACCAGAAATTAGAAACCCTTAGTAATGTATAGAGATATAGATTTTGTTTTCTAAAGTGCTAGCTTCAGTTATAGTTGAGACTTCCCCAGGAAATTCTAGCCAGAAACTTTCAGCATCAGCTGAAAAAGAGAGCTAAATACTGGATGCTAGGTAAAAGAAACATTACTTCTCAGCTTCTTTGGAATTTTCTAGTGCTGACTGTGAAGCTTGCATATCATTGTGATTTCTCAAGAGGTTTCTTTTGAGATGGAAAGCATTTATTTTTCAAAGGATTATAAACAAGCTGTGCTGTAATGACCTTGGCTAGATCAATAGCCTTCTATCCTTATGTTTAGCACAAAGGATACATTCCAAAATGGAAAACCTTTCTTTTAATGAAGGAGCCTTGGTTAATACACATACTTTGACAGTAATGTGTTGAATAGGATAAAGGAACTAAGAACTACAAGATAGAAGACGAGCTTTTTATTTCAACCACAGCATTCCTATGTATGTCCTGGTTCTAGTTTCCAGATGCCAAAAGAGTTTGGTCAGTCTTCACATCAGAGTCATCTTATTTTTCTACCTGCAGGGCTTGAAGTCTTCTTTTGCCTCCTCAAAATTCAAGAGGGCTCCCCACAGCAAATCAACAGAGTTGTAAGCAATATTTTTTATTATGATGTAGTCCCATCCCAAAAATAAGATTCTCATTCATTTCAATCACAGACTATGGTATTCTGCATATCAGTGACCCATATTACACCAGGAAAGTACATATCTAAGTAAGCTGATAGGGAAGACGGACAGGAGTTTCCCTGGATAGTTCAACAGAGAGAAAAGAGAATAATGGCCAGGATGCTTTGTGTGCTAAGATGTGGGATCTCCTGAATTGTTAGGAGTACTGGGGGGATATTCTGAGAGTTGCTCATTGTGGGTAACTGAGTGTATGCTTCCTTTTGCCAAGTTAGTAGAATCTGTATGGCAGCGTGATGATGAGTTCACTAAGTAAATGAACACAAAAAGGTAATACAGAGCTAAAATAGAAATCTCTAACAATCCCTTTTCTATATAAGCAGTGTAAATTTGGAGCCTGAGAATGAAACAAAAAAGAACAGTGCCCGAGAAAGGAACAAGAAAAAAGTAAACAAACATCAGTAAAAAATAAAAGCTTTTCTACTTGTATGCCCTGTGGAGCAAATTTAAAGCTGACTGGACAGAAATTTGAAGCTATGGCCTGAAATGTTAGTAGTATATTTATATTCCTACCTAAAAACACCTTGGCATATTTTTACAGCAGCAGCCTTTGCAACAGTATTTGAAGAAAAAGACAAAATGATTGGAGCATCAAAAGGCAAATTTGGAGCCAATTAAAAAAAAATGAT